TTTGTATTTGTGTACCTTTTGTGTTTTTTTCTGTTGTTTTGGGGTTTACTGGACTGCAGGCTTTCCAAGGGCAGTGTCAAGATTGTATTCACCGTTTTTTCCCTTGCACTCAGCCCAGCTTCTGGCTGATCTCAATCAATGTCTATTGAACCCAACTGAATCTAATACTAGGACTATGCTGGAATATCCTGGACACAAGTCCTTGAATGACTGATAACTAGCTTAAACACCCCACCATAATCTTATAACAGGTTTATAACATGAGAACTACTCAGGAGCCCATCCTTCCTCACTCCCTCTGAGTCTGCACAATTCCACATACTTCCTGAGCTGTTTTACAACACCTCCCAATAAACTTTTTAAAAAATCTTTTTCTTGATCATTCAGCTTCTAATCAAAATGTATTAACATCCAGTGCAGTCTAACTATACTTCATGCCAAAATTATTAAGCGCTCATATTTTTCTCTTCTAAGTTGAAAGGAATACACACTCATGGTAACAAAGCCAATCTGTATAAAAGGAATATATAGTTAAAAGGAAGGCTCCTGGGCCTCCCTGGTGGCACAGTGGTTGAGAGTCCACCTGCCGATGCAGGGGATACGGGTTCGTGCCCCGGTCCGGGAGGATCCCACATGCCGCGGAGCCATGGCCGCTGAGCTTGCGCGTCCGGCAAGGGGAGAGGCCACGACAGTGAGAGGCCCACGTATTGCAAAAAAAAAAAAAAAAAGGAAGGCTCCATTTTGTTGCTGACTCCCAGCCTCCCAGGTCCTCTTTGTAGACACAGTCACCAACTTCTTTTGTATCCTTCCAGAGATATCCTATGCTATTACAACACACTCCATTGTTTTTTATTTTAATAAATTTATTTTACTTATTTTTATTTTTGGCTGCATTTGGTCTTCGTTGCTGTGTGAGGGCTTTCTCTAGTTGTAGCAAGTAGGGGCTATTTTTCGTTGTGGTACGCAGGCTTCTCATTGCAGTGGCTTCTCGTGTTGTGGTGCACGGGCTCTAGGTGCGTGGGCTTCAGTAGTTGTGGCACACGGGCTCAGTAGTTATGGCTCATGGTCTCTAGAGCACAGGCTCAGTAGTTGTGGTGCCTGGGCTTAGTTGCTCTGCGGCATGTGGGAATCTTCCCAGACCAGGGCTCGAACCTGTGTCCCCTGCCTTGGCAGGCGGATTCTTAACCACTGTGCCACCAGGGAAGCCCTTACACACTCTGTTTTTTAAAACATAAATACTAGCATTCCACAGATTATTTGAAACCTGGCTTTTTCCTTTAACAGATAGCTTGACTGTAACCTCATGAGAAAAGCCTTGAGGCGAAAGTACCCACCTAAGTCATTCCTGGATTCCCGACCAAGGAAACTGTGAGATAGCAAATTTTTGTTGCTGTAAACCGTTAAGCTTTGGGATAATTTGATATGCACCAATAGATAACTAATATACCTTCATCCTCTCCTCTTTTTCCAGAGCTTCCCAAGTTACTTAGAGATATATCTCTAGTAATGCTTTTAGAACACTACATCATAGTTGTTTCTAAGTCTCTTTCCCCTACTTGACTATCTCCAAGGACAGGAATCCTGGCCCAGTTAGCTTTATATTTACTGTGTCTTACACAAAGTTCAAGCTAGAACATCATCACTTCCCTAGATTTTTGCAATAACCTCCAAACTGGACTGCCCAAATCCCCTCTAGCCTCTCTCTGATCAATTTTCTACCCAGCCCTAAGAAATCTTTTTAAAATGCAACTTGGGTTATTTGAGAGCTTAAAAATCCTTCTCCTCATTCTTAGGATAAAGACCTAAATTTTTAATACAGCCTCCCAGGCCTGGCATGGTCTGCCTGCCCCATCACCACATATAAATCTACTTCCGCTTTGTTCCCAGCACAACAGCAACACTGGTTTTTCGTTTCCTCAGCTGAACCATGCCCCTTCCTCCCTCACTGTCTTTGCTCACACTGTTCCCTCTGCCTGGGATGTTTTTCCTCTCTTCCTCACTCAATTTCTACTCATCCTTTAGATCTCAGCTCAGTGTCATTTCCTCAGGGAACACCTTTCTGCTTTCCATTCTAAATCAAAGAACCCTATAGTTTTCTTTCATACCACTTATCACAATTGAGATTAAGTGATTGTTTAATTAGGCATTTAATATTTGTCTGCCCTGGTGGACTCTAAGCTCTGTTAGGGAGGGGACACCTAGTCTTGTTCACTACTGTATCCCCAGCACAGACCATAGTGCCTGACATATTGAAAATAAGGGCTCAATACTTTTTTTTTCTTTTTCTTTTTTGCTAAATGAAACACAGGACAAACATTTCCTGTTGCTTCTTCAAATCTTTTCATCATCTACACATTTAACCTTCTGAGTGTCATTCCTCTATGACAGTGTCATCTACCTTAGGTAGTGACTTCTGAGAGGTAGAGATCACAGCTTTTAAGTTGTATCATATAGGACCCAGCAGAGTTCTCCTACTGAGGTGGGGATACAGCTTTGGGAAAGGCAAGAGAATAGGTTTGCTTATTAACAGCCTTTTGTAGCTACTTTATTGCTGTTAATATCTCTTTGGCCTGTTGGGGGCAGTGTGAAGTTAAAAGAGCATGAGGCATGCAGTCCCACCCAGCTTTGGATCCCAGCTACAGTACTTAGTAGCTGTGTGACTCTGAGCAAATTACTCATGTTCTCTGTTCCTCAAATTCCTCAGCTGTAAGATGAGGATATCATAATGGTACTGTTTTATGAGGTTGTTGGAGGGATTCTTGTAAATTCCTCTCCATGACTTGTAAAGCACTAAGACTGGCCTTAGCAAATGCTCAATAAATGTCAGCTACTATTTTTACCTGTGGTAAAACAAGGTTGCCCATTTCTCATTTAGTACTGGAAGAAGTTTGGGAATATTTGTGGTGCTGTGAAGTTCCCTGTGGGAGGTTAGGATTGGAACACTTAAAAGTATAATGCCTCCTCCTCAATTCTTTTCTCTACCTTTAAATCTTAATATTGAAGCCAGTGGGA